TTTTTTCTTTCTTTCAAGGTGGAGGTGTAAAAGATTTTTTTGTTTGCTTCTTTAAGCTGAAGTAGTCATGAAAATTTTTACTTGTTTCTTGAGTCATTCTCTCTGGGCATTTGCTGCCTCTGAACCAGTAGCTCTCAAATGGGTCTTTTGAAAGCTTCAGCATAAGCAAGACATTTCACAGAATGTCATACAGAATTTTTAGGAGAAGGAATGGGAATTTTGAGCTGCTCAAAGCACAGCCATCTTCCTTAGAGGAGCTCAGCTGCTAAGAACAGCTCTCTTATTTGCTTAGCTGTGTGAAATCCACTTGCTCTTGGACAATTGTTTTGTGTTTTGTTTTCTTTCCCCCCCAGGATTTCTGTTTACTTGTGTGCTCTTCCATGTGTGTTTTGAGCAGTGCTTTGAAGTTGGGCAGCTAGCTTTAAACAAAAGCTGTTACTATGTTCTGCATAGCATCTTGTTTGATTCCAGCAATTTGATGTGTCAGTGATGTGGTTTAGAGTTAACAAAATGCTGCACTTTGCTTGCCCTGACATTGGTTTGTGTAGGATTAAAACTAAAAAAGACAAAACACTAAGTGTGTGGTACAAAAGGCAAGTCCAAATGTGATTAGAATGTGATTAAATGGATGTGCAGCAATTATTAATTGGCCAGACATCTGTCTTGATATTTAAATGWGATGAAGTTTGTGGTATCCTGTATTTTTTCTATCACTTTCCATTTGCTCCTCCCCAGTTCCCCTAATAATCTAGGGAATTTCTGAAAACCCAGACTTTGTGTGCATTTAGTTTCCTACATAACTGACTCTAGCATATTGTAGGTCATAGTGCCTAGATTAAAGAATTTAAAATGCATATTTTCTGTCATCTTTRACTGTTATTCTTCAGTCAGAAGATCCAAATACTACTGCTTTTACTTTCTTGAATTTATACTGAAGTCTGTATTCTTTTATATTGATTTTTATTTTAAGGGTGGGGAACAAAATGAGGAGTAGATTCTGAAGGCAAAAGCAAAGACAACTGCAGACAGCCAAATTAATTTGTATCCAATTATGCAAGCAGTAAATTAACTATGAGTATTCAACTGTGCTATATCAAATTAATTTGAAAAAGTAACTAAAATCTAATTTACAAAACTGCTTTATTAAACATGTTTAATACATGATCATTTATATTAAGTATGTGAACTGTTTCTGAATGTTTTTCTCTCCTTGTTTTTGGCAGCAACTGGAATTAGTGGAACCCAGTGGCTGGATCCATGTTCCTCTAACAGATACTCATAAGAAGCCCATCCGCACCTTTATGATCCAGATTGCTGTTCTAGCTAATCACCAAAATGGAAGAGACACTCACATGAGGCAAATCAAAGTGTACACCCCTGTGGAAGAGAGCTCCATTGGTAAATTTCGCAGATGTACAACAATAGATTTCATGATGTATCGCTCCATCAGATAAAGTTTTCTCATAAGGGATAATAAAGGCATTTTTTCATTGYAGTATCATTGCTAAAGTATTCAGATACTTACAGAGCAGGGTTTACTTCAGTGTAATTACCTCTTTATGTTTATACTTTGTACACTTTTTTTGAAATAAAGATAATCTTGTGTTACAGTAGATTGTAGTCTGTAATTTGTTTCTTTTTCTAGGAGTCTGAGTGCTCTTRTACTCTGTGAGAGGGTTAAAAACARCCCGGGCACTCTTAAAAGAATGTATTTGACTGGGAATCAATAATTAATTTAATATAGTATAGGTATTTTAGAGGGGTGATTACTTCCCCCAATGATCGTGCATGGAAATAGTTGGTTCCTCTGCCTAAAAATTGSTCTTTTAAAAGTTGCTCTTCTTCTTGAAAGACATGATTTAAAGACATTATCAGTAGTATTTTCTCATAATTGCTTATACTAATGTGTTGTACCCTTTTCTYTAGAGGATTATTTCTGCTTAGTGGCCATGTGCATGGATTTARCCTTCTCTGTAACTGCAAAATAAATTATAGAATTATAGAATATCTCCAGTTGGGACTTGGGAGRACCATCAAGTCCAATTTGCTGCCTCTTGCAGGAGTGCCTAAAACTAAACCATATGACTAAGTGTTTTTTCCAGGTGCTCCTTGAACTGTGACAGGCATGGTGCATGACCATGTTCCTGGGGAGCCTGTTCYRGTGACTGGTAAWGCTGTGAAGATGAYGATRACATGAAGGAAACCAAACCTTTCCAAATTATTCAATATAGTGTGTACATTAATATAGATACACTGAGGGTTGGTCATCTAGACATGATATCTGTTCAAAACAGGAGAGTTAGGAATGCTGTGGCATTCTACAACAATTTAGGAATGAATGTGGTGGTCTAACGTACCTTCTAAAGTACTGAGAACTCAAGTGTATAAAACAATCTCAGATTCAGAGGACAGAATTCTTTTAATGTGTGTTTTAAAGTGAAGGTTATTACAAGGAAAGTATGTGCTCTGTCTGCTTGCTGTGAGTGGGAATATTTAACACCTCTACCAATATCTTGTAATCTAATAACTAGTTATTTAATCTTTTTAAAAAATGAGTTGATTTTAGAGAGAAAGGTTGTTGAAGTACTTTTGTTCAGTACTGATCAAACTCATTCTTCCTCATAGCACCATGGAAGTTGATTCAATTCAGACTAATCTCAGCCCATTTTTGTCACTCTTCTTAATTGTGAGCAAGGAAAGGATGATAATAGTGGAGGYTCATCAAACAATGGTACATCATCCTGCAGARGAGAAAGGGGGTGAAATAGAGGAAAATGGGAAGGTTGTCAAAGAAGGAGGAAGGTTTAACTGTTGAAATTCATTTTATATACTTGATGAAGCTGTTGTGTACTGAAAAGTTTGGTGACTTTCACGGTCTTTAGGAAGATCATTAAACAGGGCACTTCCTCGTAATAAACTTTGTAGAGAAGTGCATGACTAGTCTGGGKTTTCTGTTTAAATGTGGATTCAATTGTTTCAAGAGGACCTTAAATGGTATTTTACCTTTCCATTAAAGGATGTATCAACTGCAGAATTCCTGCTCAGCAGAAGCTGGCTAAACTTGTGTGTTTCACCAAGTCTGTCACTTCAGTGGATTTTCCTATATAGTGTCAGGGAGCTGAACATTCCTATTCACTAATTGAACCAAATGATACACTTTTGATGTAATTCATATGYTTCTCTTTAAAAAACAAAACATCCCTCCTGGATTTATCTAGTTATTTTTTTATAAGGTATGGATAGTTTTTAACAAAGGAGATTATTAGGCATGGAATTTTCCTCTTTTTCTCCCAGAAGTTAAGATGGGAGTTATCCTAGCTTTGCACTGTCAATCCACTGTTTCCTACTTGATTATTCTACCACAGATAATTCTRTGGTAATTTTGTGCTTTGGTCTGTAACATTTGTCTTTTCATATATGTTRCTCTGCAAGTAATATCTAGAGTTATACTGCTTTGTGACAAAGATTATCCAATAAACTAGGAACAAGCCTTTCAGCACAGTCCTATCCTTATTTCTGCCCTGCTGTCAGTAGGGCATGATTTTTGGATCTTTAGAGAGCTATTCTTGCTTTTGTCATTCTTTTTCAGGAGCATTGAAGCTCATACAGGATAGAGGCCACCATTTGTCTCAAATTTTTGGAATTGTTATTTCTGGTAGTATGRTTGAATAAGCTGAAATGTAGCTTGACTACTTAACCTGCTATTCTGGAATTATGGATTATGTTAGAGTGGTTTTAAGAACCCATGATAYCCATGGTAAACTGGATTATGTTAAACTTTACTGTTGGGGAARGAATCTGTACTTACTTGAAAACAAGTGCAGTGGCTRTTCTAAATCCCTATGAAATCTTTCTGTGTTGTTTTATAACAGTTGTAGATACATTGCATTGCACTGGTATTTAACATCTGTGGAAATRCATTTGGTTTTCTAACATTTTGGCACTTGGTCACATAAGGCTGCTGATTTTTAAGTGATGAGTGTGTCTGAAAATAAAGCAAGTTACTGCCTTTGTGTATTAATATAGTACTTAGTATTTGAATTGAGATAAACAAACTGGACTGCCAAATCATTCAGGAAGTTGCTACACGTATGTTGTGTTTAGCTGCTGCTGCTTTTCCTTGCTCATTATTTTCAGACACACAGTTGTCTGGAGTCTTATCATTTTCTTTTTTTTCTCTTGTATAAGAAGTACCTGATAAATATCAAGTACTGCAAGTACTATTGGAATAAATTACAGGCAAAATGGAAGATGTATTTGTCCTAACACATCATGACTTGGCAGTGATCTGACTYACCACTTCAAATAATAGTAATTTAGGGGGTTTAAAACTTTTTCTTGGAAGATACCACACTAGGCCTTTCTATCTCACAGAACAGAAATTTGATTCCCAGTCTAAGTGTAAAAAACTTCCTTATAATTAAGCTTAAACTTTTTCCTTTGCAGACAGTAAGAAAAGGGAGGTATCTGAGTGATCAGAATCTTGAGAAACTCCTGTTGAAATGGAGGAGAATACCTGTGTTTTGACTAAGTTATGTCTGTGTGTCTTCTTAGCACCACAGTGTAAATAAAAAAGGCAGATGACAAGAGAGGGAGAAAAGAAGTATTTGCTGCTCCTGGTTTCTAAAATGGAGAACAGCAAAATATTTATGTTTTGCTTAAGTTCACACAGGGAATCTCTGGCAGAGCTGGAAGTTGAAGCYATATCATCACTGTCTATCTTCTCTTTCAATGTGAAGTTTTTTCAGATAATGATACTGTTTCAAAGACAAATTTTTCAGTAATGCAATTTGTGCATGTAATTCCATTGAAAAGTTTAAACTATATTTTGGGATTTGCTGTTCTAGTTTATTCTGTAGGGGAGATGCTTTTGGCAGCACTCTGACTAGAGATGCACCATTGAAACTCTTCAGCTGCTGCCTTGGTGCCAAAGTGAAGTGAGTTGTACTATTGGTACTTGATTTTCATAATTTGTATTACAAAAGTTTAAGGGAAGTAATTGAAACATTATTTAGGCTTGAAATCTGTTTATACACTAGAGAGARGCAGATGTTGAGATTGCTAGGACTGATTAGCAAAAACTTGTGAACTTTGCTAATGAATGAARTGATGGAAGACACTGAAGGACCATGGAGAGCTACTGGATATGGGGAAGGTACATTGGTGCCTCACCTAACAGAGCAAGCCACAGCTCTAGGCAGTAGGTCATTGCTTGAAAAATCCCCACCTTTCACACAGCAATTGCCAGCAATAATTGTAATTGTCTGAACTCAAATGCGGGTGAAACAGGTGCTCAGGCAATTTATGCCACCTGAAGTGGRTCAGGGTGACAAAACTGGACCTAGTCATTAGAGCTACATTAGAATTACACTACACCCTGTAAAGAAATAAGGAGAATCAGAAGCTACTGTAGTAAACTTCTCAGAAAATCCCACTTTAGGCATTTGTCAACCAAAAATATGTCTCCGTTTCAAAATGGTCAGTGGTTTTTCTATAAGCTGTATTTTCATGATGGGTCTCCTTCATAATATACAAAGTAAGAGTTTGTTGCTCTGTCAGGTCTAAATGAAAGAATACATTATCATAGTGTTACTGTGTTTTGGTGTGTCAATGAATTATGGAGATAATTTTTAYTGGATATTTTTCTTGAATTTACCAGTAAGTTCTGTAGCCTTACTACAATTCTGAATTCTTTGGGATCATTGGAGTGACCCAGATTGCCCTCAGCACTTCCCCTGCCTGTGGGAAATAGAGGTTTGGGGCTCTGAAGGGTCCATGGTTATAAGGTSCAGTGCAAGGCTGTACATTGAGGTCCTGACTTGTTTAATTTGTGGTAACCTTTGCACTCTTATTCCTACATTTTGTCATTCTGTGTTAATGCAACGCCGATGCATTCATTACAAGAATACTTYGCATTCCTTTGCGTGTATACACAAAAATAGCTGTTTATTTAGTATTTAACTACCACACATTGCTTCTTTTATTAAATGCAATAGTCCTTTTGCTGGAGCCTGAGATMATAATCTAAATGCAATTAAAATGTTCATAATATTAGGAATATGTCCCTCCAAAGATGGGATTGCCGAGGCTTCCAGKCAAAGGTATTGGGTGGTCTGCTGTTGGTTTGGAATACTTAAGTGTTCTGGTTAAGATCAGAAAGGTGTTAAGGTGCTTTTATAAAGCTGCATAAAGCATCATTAAACATTGTTCATGGGAGCAAATTATAAGTCATCTTTCATGTGACATATTTGCTGTAGCTCCAGGTTGACATTTCACCGAGCTGGTTTACGTCAGCCCAACAATTACCTGTGACAGTTCCTCCATTTGTACCAAAGAGTAAACCTCTCTTGCAGCAGTCAACAGTATTAGCATGGTTTAATTTAATGGAAGAATGAAAACAAAACCCACTCCAACCCCAAAACCCGAGTAATGAACATTATGCTAATACTTGACGCTGCTAGAGGATATAATCCAGACATAATTATATATGAAATGAGAAAGTAAGCTTGGGATCACTGGAAACATTAAATACCTGAACTCTGATCCCACTGAAATGAATTACTGCTGTTAATTACTGTAGGGGAACAGTTTAGCCAATATTTAACATGCTCAT